CAAGTCATCAATTGCTGCATCATTGATTCTACCTCATCTGCTGACAGTCTTGGGGCATCTTGTTCTCTGCTGATTCTGTGATACAATAAAATAAGTCAGCACAAGAGAGGGAAACATATGAAAAGCTAAAAATTTCACATGAATTAAGAGAGTACAATTTATATTACTTCTCAAAGTAACGGTCCAAGTTGTGCCATTGAGGATCCTTTGAGCGATTTCCAAAACGGATTACCTCATCAGAAAAAACTTTCAACTCCTCCCTGAAGGCAAACCCAATGATCACTTGCAGATGTCATTACATAATCATAATAAAATCAAAAGAATAATTTAGCTTATTTAGGAACTGAATTCGCCTAAATTCATTGAACTTAACCCCATACTAACCTCTTATCCGTTGCAACAATCCTTCTAAGTTCATCTGAATCTTTTGATACCAAATCTTGCACACCCTTTGAAGGAAGCACCTCTTCGTTTAAATGCCTAACACTTCTTTTGGACAGAGATTGAATAAGACTAGAGCCCTTGACAATAGTGTTTGCAACCTCAAATGCTAAGATAGCAATTTCATTTCCTTTTGTCGCAGTTCCAGAAATAAATCCACTTCCAGCATTTAAATTTGTCATGCTGCTCCCAAGAGTGTCCAAGACATCCACTGCCTTCCCAAATCCAGCTCTTCCTATACGTGAACTCACCTCAGAGACCTGAAACAGAAAATATCTTTGTAGATACCATCAAATATTTCCTACCTTGGTCTTTTTACCAGTCTCCTTTCTTTCAACAAGCCTGCCTACTTACTTAACTTAAAGACATAACAAAACACTAAACTAAATTTGAAACGGTATATATGATGTGAAAAACAAATAAAATAGCCAATTCAAATTGTAACCATTGCAATGAACAGGATGAAAAATGTGAAGTTCAGCCAATATAATGAAATCCTATGCAGTGATTCTGATGAAAGTGGATGGATGTTGGTTAGTACAGATCGTCGGGCTTGGAAGCATGCCAAAATTTTCTAGACAGCAATAAGTTAATAGGAAAGACACGGTTGGCGTTTTCAAACCTATTCTGCTATAGAGTGATCAACAGATTCTTCAAACAATCCAATGGACTCATTCTCAGAGTTCAATATTCATTATCATTAGGGCTTTAGTTTTCTTCTCCTTTTCTTAAATAGGCGCCTGTTGATGTTTTATTGTAAAATATCTGGAACTATTCATTAAGCAGTCCCTCGAAAAATTGGGGTGAATGTACATGAGCTGTTGGCCTTGTTTTGAGTTCCCACCAGCAAAACGCCTTGCCAACCAGTCAGCTTATTGCAAGAGATGTTATCATTAATGGGCTTCCCTTGACAGGATAAACTAACGATCGTGCTCATCATATAAAAAATTGCTTAGGACTTCCATTTTTTCAAAATAATGATCCTGCTTTCTGATTGAATTCTCGAAAACTAACTAGATTTTCATCGACATGCGATTTATAGGTGGAAGGTAAAAATTCTAAAAATGTGCATAGTTACGACAAATTAATCCGAACTCTCAACATAAATCACTGTGATCTGTAGACAGATCCACCACTCAGTAGCCCAGCTCGGGCGCATAAATAGTAAGAACGAATTAGTCAAAGGGTTGAGCATTTGAAGTGGACCATAATGAACCAACCTTTGCCACAGCAGCCTGTCTTGATTTAACTGACCTAGACTTGTGAGGAAAAGGATGAGTAAAGCGTGGGATTCCATCATAGAAATCATCTGGACTAGTGCCTGCATCTGTGCCTCGAATTTCACCATGTTCTTGCACATCCTTCTCCATTTTTTCACATATATGAGGTGCAGTAGTGAAATCACTCTGCACGCTGGACTGACCATTCTTACCAGATTTGTGATTCACAAAATTTTCATCGGTCTTAGCAAATACCTTGTCCTCGTTGGCGGACCTCGAACAAATCCCTCCCATAGTTTCAGATAACCAAACGAAAAACTCAATCGCTGTACCCCCTGACATGTACTCAAAGAATCAGCTCCGATAACACCCCGCCCATGTCTTGAATTAACAGAGAAAAGCCATTATTTTTCTCTCCAGCTTGTAGTCAATGCTATGGTGGTACAAGTAGAACAACCAGAAACAAACACGGATAAAAGAATATCGGAACTCGGAGGTGAAAGACACTGGGGGGAAATTCCAGATTCCAAAACGCAAGAGAGTAGAAAAAAAGGGTTTTGTTTTTTGGGAGGCTTATGGGACTTATGGGATTAGGATGGGACAAAAGCTTGAAAATTGAGGAAGTTAAAGTCCACACTCAACCTCCCTTTGAGCGCCAAGAAGGTAATAATAATATAATAACAACGACAATTGCAATTGCTTTTTGCTAGAGTCTTACAAACATCTACTTAGCAAAAAGCTAAATTTGAACATGTCAAACTAATACTATTTCGGAGAGAGTGAATTGAGCGATGGTTATGTAAAGTCGAAAACTTTGCTTTGGTTAATAATGAGGATAGAGGAAGAAGATCAAAGTAATGAGGGTTGGGGGAGGTAGGCTAAGAAGTTAAGAGAAGCTGAAGAAGCCGCCCGGGGCTCTCCTTTGCCTGATGCTCCAGACAAACAAGACTACCGCCTTTGACCGGCAACACGGAATTGGTCGTATTCAACTTTCTTCGTTGACCATCCCACTTGTCCTCTGTATTTTTATGCGTGTTCTTGCATTTTAATGATTTTTTCTAAATTTATTTTAATATTTAAATCACCAACTAGTGCATTTGAGGATGATACACAAGCTTTGTAAACACTCAAACAATTTCATTCTTATTTGAAATAAACAAGTTAAGAGTGTCTCTTTCATTGCTCAAAACATGTCATTATTTGGACCGTTTCATTTTGTAACCCTCAATTTATCTAGGGTTAAGGTGCGCCCAACACCCCGAACTATTTACCCAGGTGCGTCCAGTGGCCTAAAGTAATTTTGGATGCATTCAGTGTCCTAAACTAATTAAAATGGTGCGTCCATATTCCAGGCTAACAGAAATGTTATGTTTAACTGTTACTTTCCTGACTCAACTTAAAGTTGACCCCATATATTCTACATGGCAGACACATGGGCACCTGATGTGTATTATTCTTACTCAAAAGTCAATTTATTTAGAAGAAGATGAAGGAAATAAATTCAATTTTGAGTAAGAATAATACACATCAGGTGCCCATGTGTCTGCCATGTAGAATATATGGGGTCAACTTTAAGTTGAGTCAGGAAAATAACAGTTAAACATAACATTTCTGTTAGCCTGGGATATGGATGCACCATTTTAATTAGTTTAGGACACTGAATGCATCCAAAATTACTTTAGGCCACTGGACGCACCTAGGTAAATAGTTCAGGATGCTGGGCGCACCTTAGCCTATTTATCCAATAGAGAGTTAAATAAAAAGCATTCTTTTTAATCGTTTTCCATCATGCATACCAAATTGTAAGTTGCAAAACATTGCTTTTCATCCGTTCAGGCTCAAACTCTGATTATACTATTCTTAAGGTAATCCATTTGTAGCTGTTCTTACCCGGTTTCAGGATAATCCTTATCCTAAGCATACTTAGTGAGTAATTATTGCATTTCCGTTATAAATTTATTATAAACCTCAAAAGGGGGAAAAATAAAGGGAAGATGCCCGACGATGCCTTCAGCTCTTCGTAACGGGCACATGTGATGAAGACATCGTATTAAAAAACATAAAATAAATCTCGAGTATCTTTCGCCCACAGATGCATCACTTGGCATTTAATTTGGAAGAACTTTGAAAACCCAGCCACCTAGGTTGGTAATACATCACAGGGTAGAGTACTACTATTTTTTGTGCATACAAATCTACGAGTCTTTATTTTATTCATAATTTTTTTAAAAATTTGTTCCATACACATAAAATATATTTGCCATGAAATCGCTCTGGTCTGTGATTGGGGTTTTTTTTGGGGGTAATCTGTAAGTGCAGTCAACCAATGATGGCCCAAGTGTAAAAACGGCCACCATATATGAAAAGGTTGCTCAGTGGAAGAAATAGATTTAAAATTTAAAATTGAAGGTTTATTTAAATAATGGGAATGACTCGTGAAACTCGGGTAAGAGAGACAGAGAGGGAGAGGGAGAGGGAGAGCGAGAGCGAGAGCGAGAGCGATCCATGATATTAATATTTAAATGCTCTTCGCATCTTATTACTATGCTGAAACCGTAAATACTTAGCGCGCAGGTAGCTTGATAATCTCTTGGGAGAAAAAGGCAGCTTCACAATCTCATTAGGCATTTTTATCTTTGAGACGTCCTCAAAAGTCAAAACCATCACAATTATTGTAGCGAAAACAAAAAAGCTGGCCATAAGTTCTTTCTTTCTTTTGTTGTCCAATCTGAGAATAAGTTCGCCACCCGCCGGAACCATGTCCAACGGAGCAAATCCCAAGGAAATATGACAAATTTTAAATTTAGAAAAATTACACTCAGGTCTCACATAAAACAATTAATTCATAAAAAATCTTTCAAAATCCTAAAATGATTCCTAAATCCTTGAGACATGTGTGTAATAAATTCTAATTGTGAAATTACCTATTCATCCCTACTAATTTGAACACAATGTAATTCATTTACAACCTTAACAGTGATTGTTGACAACTAAAGGAGAAGTGGTTAACAATCTCTGGAATGCCCTTGGTATTTCACAGAGTAAGTTGTTAAGAGTACTGTCGAAGTTGTCAACTACTTCTTCTCAGACTGTCAACAGCCACCGTTGAGGTTGTAAATGAATTGCTATAATAAAATCAGTCAGGATTAGTAAGTAATTTCATGATTATAATTTATTACACATAGATTTTTGGGGATTTAGGAATCATTTCGGAACTTTTAGAAACTTTTTCTGAATTAATTATCTTATATGAGACTTGAGTGTAATTTTCCCCTTAAATGTTGCCTCATCACCCGTCACTTGCCAATTGTTTATAGTTATAGCTACTGTTCTGAATCAATTGAAGGGGAGTGGAGCCAAAGAAATTGCCCGAAGATGTTAAATTACCTAATTGGCCTTGCTGACGCGAGGGGAGAGCCCCATTGGTTTGTTCTTACATGCTAAAGAGCAAAAAAGGCGGAAGAATGGCAGGTGGGTCGAGGTCAGAGACGAACCCATCAAAACGAAACCCCATAACGGCGATGTTAGATAGATACTGTAAGTGTAAGTAAACCCCGTAGCGTAGGGGGAGGAATTAGGAGCTGCATCAAGGAACCGAGAAGGATTTCTCATTCATTTTCAGTTTCACTAGTAATATTGGCTCAAATTACTTGCTTAACTTACTTATCATTAGTGTTCTGGGGAATCAAGGAGCTTCTGTTACTGTCATCTTCCCCGTTTTTTCTCGCCGAATGAAATTACAGAGCGACGCGCAACATAGATGTACTCGAGTAATTTGAAGGGGTTTATTTTGGCTGTCGTTTCCAGTGCTTTCATCGGCTCCAGCTTCATTATCAAGAAGAAGGGTCTCCAACGGGCCGGGGCGCACGGCCCTTCAGCCAGTGAGCGTTCTGCAATCTGAGAAGTTGCTTCTTCGCTTTGCGAGGGTTGTTACAATTTATTATTTTTTAGTCGTTGTTTGACATTCAGTTCTTGTAGGTGTTGGAGGATATGGTTATCTGCGAGAACCTCTCTGGTGGATCGGCATGATTACCAGTGAGTAGTTCTCTATGTTGCATTCTCTGCAATGTTTGGTTTTCTCGCTCAAAATATTTGCTTTTAGCACATTCCAACCTTTTTTTTATTTTTTTTGGGTTGGGGAATTGTTCGCAGTGATTGCGGGAGAGATAGCTAATTTTGTGGCATACATTTACGCTCCTGCTGTGCTTGTGACGCCACTTGGTGCTTTAAGTATTATTATTAGGTAAAAGTTCATTTCTAGTAAGTGGTTGCTTCTTTGATCGTTTTCTCTTTGCACATTTCCCTATGATAAACCATGTAATGTTGTGGAAATGAATAGTGCGATCTTAGCACATTTCATGTTGAACGAGAAGCTGCAGAAAATGGGCATGCTGGGGTGCCTTCTATGCATAGTGGGATCCGTTGTAGTTGTTCTCCATGCACCTGAAGAGAAGTCCATTAGTTCGGTTCTTGAAATTTGGGATTTGGCCACTCAACCAGGTATGCTGATTGGGCCTGATTGGCATTCACTATGAAGTGCGTGCATGCTTTATGGAATTATATTGACAAGTACATTCTATTTTGGCATCCAGCATTCCTCTTGTATACGGCCTCAGCAATAGCTGTAGCACTGGTGTTGATTTTATACTGTGCTCCCCGCTATGGCCAAACTAATATTTTGGTTTACATTGGAACATGCTCTGTAATTGGATCACTGACAGTAAGTGACGCTATTAGATACCATGTCAATATTGAAAGACACGACATTTTTGTGAGATTGCGGTCATGTGTTGCTTACTGCCTTTTGTTTTTCATTTTTGACATGTTATTTCACAGGTTATGAGTATAAAAGCGATTGGCATTGCAATAGAACTTACATTAGAGGGCATAAACCAGGCTGTATACTACCAGACATGGATTTTTGCAATGGTCGCTATTACTTGCATCATTGTGCAATTAAATTATCTTAATATGGTCAGTATCTTGCAGTACACAGTACTCTTTTCCCCCCTTAAAAATACTCGTGGACATATCTTTTGCATTGTGACGTCCACTGTGAAAGATCAGCTTCCTTCTTTTAGATGCTTCTCTATATTTTAGGTGCATATCCCCAGTGCCAAAAATTGCTTGGAGCGTGTTAGGTTGCTAATTTTCTGCCCTGGATATTTTATGGTTAACACTTGTTCCTTTTATTATCAATGATGGTTCACAAGAACAAGGGTCAAACTTGCAACTGATGACAGATGGCAACCTTGTGAATCCTGTACTATCGTTTAGGTTTTTGACGGTATTCATTGTCTAGACTTGTGACGTCAATTTTTATTTAAAAAAATGTAGGAAAACCCTGAATCAAATATTTCTAAAGCAAAAACCCATTGCAAAGAATTATTAGTTTCCAAGATGCAAAATCTGGGTATTCGATATGTAAATCTTTGCCTAGAAAACATCCATGTGATTCTTGTGCTGAAGCCCGATAAAGATGGTAATCACAATGTCCTGAATTTTTAATTCATTGACGAGACTTGTTGCCACCCTTTTTTATTGCCATTTTCGTTGTATTTGATATTCAGTGTGTACGTCATCAGTGGTTAACAATTGCATTGTTGCAGGCATTGGATACTTTTAACACGTCAGTTGTGTCTCCTATCTATTATGCCCTGTTCACATCTTTCACAATATTAGCCAGTGCAATCATGTTTAAGGTTGGTATTTTGCAGAAATGCAATGAGAGAAAGTGTGTCAGGCAAGGAAACGTTTTATGGTTCGACCATCTGGTATAATCCTGTTTTCTGTACTATTATCATTTAGGACTATTCTGGTCAAAGTGCAAGCAGTATCGTATCAGAGCTGTGTGGTTTCATCACTATTTTATCTGGAACAGCAGTATTACATAGTACAAGGGAGCCAGATCCTCCAATAACAGGTAATGCCTCTTGCACTTCAGTTTGTAGGGTTTGGATGATTTAATCTTTCATAAATATATGTATTAATTCTTTATTAAGAGTATATATGCACAGAGCACCCTACAATTGCTTGGTTTGACCTGTGAAATGCTGTGGGCGAGGCTAAAACTTAATTTAAATTTTAGATAATTTGAAAACATAAATTATATTTTCTGTTCAAAGAGCATTTGCATCATTTTGACGAATAAGTGGTCATACATTTCATAGAATGAAAGATGATTTTTTTCTCAAAAAATTTGAGTAAAAACAGCAAATATAATAAAGAATAGGAAGAAAATGCTGGCAAACTTTTAAGCTTGGCAAAAAAGAGGGAAGCAACATGTTCTAGGTGGGGCCATAACATTCATAAGAATATATTATTATTAGCTGAATGATCAAAATTATATCAGCTCACAAGGTGACTGGTGGGAGACATTCTAAATAATTTAATTGTGTCTTACATGCTCGCATCACTTAAAATTAGTGAGCGGTATGAGTGGTTGGTTTCCAAGTCTTGTGCACTCATCTAATCATTTAGTCACTATTATGTTCAGCAATGCAAACACCTCTGACCCATTTCTTTCCAGGAAATGTAAATAGGATATTTTTTCTACATCTGCTTTAAGCACCTAGGTTTTGTTTAAAACACCTCATTTGTGTGAGAACTGGCGGCAAAAGGACAATTGCTTCGATGGCCTATGCATTTACATTGCTTCTTGGCTAATATGAAACTGTGGTTAGTTTTGTATTGGACACTATTGCAACCAAGTCTCCATGTTTGTAGGTGAAAAAACCTGGTGCACTTCGGAGTTCCGATATTTAGAGTCTAATTTCTTTGCCTTTGTCATCTGTCTTCTTTTTTAGTTTTTTTATTGCAAAAAAGGGAAAACAAGTTTCTGATTATTTAGGACATGCAGATTTATACACACCATTGTCTCCTAAAGTGTCATGGTATATCCATGACGGTGCTGAGTCTTGGAAGCCGGAGGAAGATGCACCACCGTTCAATTTAGCCAAAATCATGCGGCAAGATCATTTCAAGTGATAGAAGGGACTCAAACGAAATCAGATTAGTCCCCTGGTGTCCTGCCATTGAGTTATGCGGGCCATCCTGTTTCACTTGTTTATTTTAAGCAACTGAAGCGTGCCATTATTGATACAGAGTTCGGCTTTGCTCCAGTTCCACTATTTGGTTGGGCAGGAGTTGCAAGAGATTCATCAACATTGTGCAGCCAGAGAGGAGAGATTTCTTCCTTTTTCTTAGATTTTCTTTTTTTTGAAATTTCTGGTAGATATTCACAAGCCTGAGCCCTGTTCTTCATCTTAAGTTTGCATTCATTTTACTCTTTGAGTTGAGTCCGCCCCCGGCTGTTTTTTGTCCCCTCTTGTGGCTTCCGTCTTCTTCTTCTTCTTTTTTAAATCTTTATTTTTTAACTTTCAGGGTTTACAGCTAATTTATTTGCGCAATGAAGATGAGTACGGGTTTTTTTGGGCCCCTTAAACCTGCGTCCAGGCTCTGGTTTGGTCCAGTGAACTGCTGGGTGCTTACCCATATAACGTTTATCCTTGTGATGTTAATTATTTGATTAGAGCTTCAATATTATTGGCCAGATGCTTGTCATTGGTCCCCGTATGTGTTACACTTCCATTCTTGAGCCTATTTTCCGGCGTATTGTTGAATGCGTTTTTAATTTTGTTCTGTTGGCCCGAAGTTGTAATCCTCCACTAAAAGCCCTGTTTTAAGTGTTTATATGATTTTATCTGTATGGATATAACCATGTTTTACATCTATTATGAGTTTATCATTTAAGCATATTATGCGAGAGAGGGAGGGCTGAACACAACTCAACACTGGGAAAAACATGAAGGTTCCCATAACAGTAGGTCAGTTACTTAACGCGGGATTCAAAAGAAAAGTAAAGATCGTTCGAAAAAGAAATTAGAAATAGAAAATCGACATCCAGCTTCTGCAGAGCACAGAACAGAGTATACCAGGAATCATCGTTTCTATATTTTTCATGTGGTGACTAATAAATAGGCAAGGCCTTTTAGATATTCAACGATCTCTGATCCACCAAGCTTCGAACTCCCAAATACTCTATCAACGAAAGTAATTGGAACCTGTAAACAATCAAAGCTAGCGTCTCAACACCAAATTAAACAATGAACAATAGGATAATTTTGGTACTGAGAATTGTAGAGAAAATTACAAGTACATCCAGATCTTTTGCACAAATTTTGGAGTATCTCTTACTAATTAGATAATCAGATTCGACCACTTCTCCCTAACAGTTAGTCATGTTCGTATTCAAGCACAAGCAAATAATAACCCCGAACTTGGCGAGATTAAAGGGCTGTAACTTCATCTTTGCTTGGACTGAAAATACGGAACTACAATAGATAATACATGTCTGCTGCTTGGATCACCATAAAACATCACTAAATTTACTTTGAGACTCTTTTATGTACCAAAGCCACTGGATTAGGGTGTGTATGCATCACTTACGAGACATTCTTGTGATTCACCAGCAAGCACCTTTAGCAGTATAAAATTATGATTCTTGGCCAATGTGCACCGCAGAATATAGTTACAAGGTACAATTATGTTGACAAAAGTAAGTCAAATTGCAAGCCACAAATAAAAAAGATTGCACTAGTTACTAAGGGCACATACAGATGACATTCTCCAATACTTAATAACAAATTAACAATACCGTCACTTAATTTGACAGCTGCTTAGGCAGCTTAGCGATCAGAAGAGCCAAAAAACAACCAAAGAAGCCCTTACCTTGTTTTGGTGTATTCATAAGAAGGATGAATTATACCTCTTTAATCTTGTAACCTTTTCTAGAAGCACGGACAATCATCTCCATTTGAAAAACATATCCCTTACTAACACAGCAACTAATAATATCTTCAAGCACTGATTTCCTGTAAAGTCTATAAAGAGAAGAGATAAATCATTCTCAAACAAGTGGAGCAATTAACACTCATCAGTCAACTACTTAATAGCACTTATCAAGTTTCATACCTAAAAGATCCTGTTAGATCAGAAACACCAGGCCATAAAAAGGTTTGTGCAAGAACATTTGCCCCTCTGCTTGTTAATTTGCGCATAAGATTCCATCCATGCACACCACCACCCTTGACATAACGAGTTCCGGTGACTATATCAGCACCAGTTTCTAACTGCTTTCTGCGAAATGTAAATGGAGAATTAAATGGCATAGGCAGATAAGAAATAAGCAAGAAATTATTAGATGGTTTTCTTACCTGATGAAGCTTGGCAAATATTTTGGCTGCAGAAGAATTAAACAAATTAGTAAAAGAAAAGATGTAACAAAAACAAAATTCATTTAAGAAATTTCAAAAATGGACGTTCTAATTCAACTCAGAGTAGGAGACAACAAATGAATAGAGTAATTCTCTCTGACTACAAATTATAAATTTGTCAGATTACCAATTGCATTCATAGACACAGGCATGTTAAAATGACAGGCGAATTAATAAAACATTAAAGCGACATTTCAATCCCAAATAGTAATTTGTTCAGACTTAATTCTGCCGACTTCTTTTTTCAACTTTTTTCTTCTACCACAGTCCTTCTTATTTTCCTTAGTTCAATCATTAGGAACGGCAAACAACGATACAAATCTCAAAGGCACTTACATGGTGTGATAGATCAGCATCCATGATGACAACAAAATTTCCAGACGCATGCTTCAAACCATGAATATAAGCCGTTCCTGGAATGGAATTGAATCAAAATAACAGCTTTTCATATTTTATAATAACTTAAGAGGACAAGGGTGAGGTAAATACCTAATCCCAGCTTAGTAGGCCTGGCTCTTAATAGCTGGAATCACAGAGAGAAAACGCTTAATATAAGATTAGCATTTAGCAGGGACTGAGATAAATATCGATGAAGAAAAGTTTATATATAAAACTCCAACTTCAAGTTGTATATTTCTTACAATCCGATCCTCTCCATAAACTTTCTGCAACTGTTTTACGATATCCTGAGTGCCATCGGGGCTTCCATCGTCCACAACTATAATTTCAAAATCGACGTCCCTAATTGAGGATTGAGCAACCAAAAAGAAACATTCCAAACATGCAAGATCGTTAATCACCATCGAGGAACAGTATAATCAGAATAGATAATGCTCGCTATCTTGAATCATAAAGGAATACACTCTGATTGCCCCGAAACGTAAAAAACCAATCTTAGATTTCCAGAGGTCATGAGTGATGTGCAAATAGAACCAAAACTAAATCAAGAGATGGGAAATTTACCGGAGGTGCTTGAAAATAAGGTAGACGATGAGAGCAATGTTCAGCCGCTCATTGTAAGTAGGAATGATTATACTGTACTTGTTCTTTGGGGTATTAAGCGGCGCTTCCATTCTAATTGTAATCAGCAATTTGGTTCCTCGCTCGTTGTTTCCAGGATCGAATTCTCTGCTTCGTTGTTTCAATTGCCGCAGCCTTTGGCGTAGACGTGTACTTCTAGGGAAAGAGATTTGTTGCAGTGATTCAAAGGTGCGTTTGTACCTATCGCCAGATTCATCTAATGGCTGGCAGAAAAGAGGATGCAAATAATTTGTTCAAAACGGTGTGTAGCGAATCAGCTTCTAACCCCACCTGCCAAACCCCAAAAAAAGTTTTTGGCGCCATTTCTCCCTGAAACTATTCATCAACAAAATTTAGAATTACAGCGATCTCTCAAAGGGGGGGGGGGAAGCTTACAAAACAAGCCCTGACAAGCCCAAAAAAAAAAAAAGGTTTTCGACCCCACTTGCATCTTAGTTCTCCCAATGATCTATTTGCAAATGGCAATCCCATCGAAAGGCTTGGAAGCAAAAAGAAAAGCACTCAGTCTTTCAAGACAAATGATGCTCAACGGAGAAAATTAGCAAACCCATCAGACATATTCGAATTAACCAGAACGGAGAACGCAATAGCGGAAGGTATTCCATACGAGTGAAGAGGAGAGCACTCTCACGCGAGAGTAGAACGCTTCACTCTTCAGCTTCGAACTCAGCAATCAGATCAGGGGAAGGAGACGCCGAGATGCACGACGCTGAGGGAAGGAGGAGGTGCCGAAGCGAGAATGACGGACAAAGAGAACAGAGGTGGGCGGTGAGGAAGTGGCTCGTGAAGTTAGCTGTAGGCCTGGAGCTGAGGCATCGAGCATGAAGTATATTCTGCTTACGCGAGAAATAGGACCGGTAGTAACATATTAGTGGCATGCTAATTTTTCTTGTTAGGTCTGGTTCAAGGGTGGCAGGCCATAGTAATACCATCGGAGAGTTAATATTATAATATCTATTTTACGTGCTTATCAATTTTTTTTTTCAAATTAACTAACATTTTTTATTTACTCAAATTAATTAATTAAGTGTGCATTAATAACCGGAGAAGTATTATGTTTTCCAATGCTCTGGCTGTGTTATGCCGCGGTTAGCCTGCTCGGCGGCATGCTTACCGGGCTGTTTGCAGAGCCCCGTCTAAGTGCACTCTTGTCGGCCGTCAGTATTTATGGTCAAACATATTGCCGAAGGCCTGTTCATCATGGGATGGAATCTCGTGGTCACTTCCATTATATGTGCGGTGACGACGCAATTCATGGTGAAGTTCAGGAGGCTTCTGCCTTGTGGGGCGACGGAGAGACCCGACTGCTTTAGTTGGATGCATTCTTTAATCTTTATTGTTTGTTGGCGGGTCGTATTATAGGATGCTGATTTTGTTGTTCTTACCCTTTTGTCTCTTGCTCCCCGTTTCTTCCCAAGCCTTCTCAGACACGAGTTGTTCGGCTTCCTCTTACTTGGGAAAAAATAAGTTGTATGCTTCTCTCATAGGAAGTTGCCGGCTAACTTGTAATACTCCCTCTCCATAATATAAAATATTGGTTAAATTTTTTCATGAATTAAAAAATAATAGTTAAGTTATTAAATGTGTCCTGAAATAATAAATTTTTTCTAGGTTACCTTTAAATAATATGATTGGAAAGTAATAAAATATTTTCTAAATGCATTTTTATTATCTCTCTCTTATATTTAAAACTTTCTCTTGTAATTAACGGGGACAGAAGTTTAAAAAAATCTTATTAATTACCAGACAACTTTTTATGCTTTGGACCATAATTTCCTTCCCAAGACTTCCTATATCATGAACCAAGGAAAGAAAATAAATACTTCACATCAACTTTGTATAAATTAATAAAATTAGTTAAACTTAATTTTTTTCTTCACAAAATATCAAAATTATTCTCAATAAAAATTATTAGTTCAAAGAATTTGATCAATTAGTTAGAAAATTTTATGTTTATTTAGGAATATTAGGTTAAAAAATTAATGATTCAGACCAAACAATATATTATGAGACACATTTGAGTCCTTATAATAATAAGAACTAAAAAGCGTGTATGCATATATCCTAACACTCTCAAGTCGAAAAAGATTCAAGTATATTTGGAACGCTCAAACCAATGGAAACAAATCAAATTATAGCATGTATATGTGTGTGTGTGGGGACTAAATATATACACTAACTAGTAACTAACATGTTGGCAGTCCCAGCAGGAACCAAAGTTAAAAGCGAAGAGAACATGGTAAATCCCCTCAAAATCAAATGCAGCGCTCCT